TGCTGTATTTTCAGCTGATATTTTACTTCTAATCCTTTACATTTACACACAATTATCTGCACTTTATACTCTTTACATTTACACATAATTATGTGCACTTTATACTCTTTACATTTACACAGTTGGCTATATTTTCTCCTTACAAAGGAAAGAAGTAGAAAGTTGTTAAATTTTTTAAAATAAAAACCTGTCCAGATAAATTGTGTCTCCTGATAAGAGTGAATTTATCTGTGGTTGGGTGAGAAGTATAAATATATATCATTCTGATCCATCACACCTGAATGACACACATCATGTCACACTCCAGCAGAACACGTCAGATGTACAGTGTGACTGTGGCACAATGCAAAAAGTGTCCATCTAACTAAGTCTTTTTAAATCTTCTATCCAGACAAAAATACACCAAGCAAAAGCAGAATGTTTATATTTTAATCTTGTTAGCCTGACATTTTGACTTATTTCATGAACTTTATTTTACTTATTTAAAAAAATGAATAGATTCAGACTCAAATGGAGTGAAACCCTTTGTCCTTGGAGTATGATAGCTCCAAAGTGAGCCTATTAACATTAATATAAGATTTGAGTCATAGCTGTTTTGTCTGGGAATTTTAGAAATTCTAACTCAAATACTCAAAACGTTTACTTTTGATACTTCAGTACATTAAAAAGACTTTAGGACTTCAACTTGATATTCTTAGAGGAGACTTTAACTTTTACCAAAGTAATTTTATTATAAGATACTTGTGGGTTATGAATATATTGAATATAACCCTCCCAACAAAATGGCATCATTTGCTCAAACACAATAGAAATGAACTGGTTAAACACACAGATGCAACTCTCTCGTTGACTTTAGGAAACTTTGATCAGGTTTAAAAATTTACGATGTCATATATGCACGTTTAAGCATAACTGCTGAGAATGACATGCAGGTTTTAGAGCAACACAAGCTCACATAATTCTTGACTGAAACATTTTTCATCAGGATGGTTTCAGTTTTAAACATAAAGAAACAGATCGTTAAAAATCATGTGTGTTTTGTTTTTCTGTCTGAAACACAAAGAAAATAAAACATTTTATGTGCAGGATAAACTGAATAAATTCTCAGATCTCAGATTTATCATGTGAAACATCTGATAATTGTATTATGGAGTAGATTAAAATCGCACTGCATGTATTTTATTAGAAAAGGATTAAAAGTGAAGAAGCTGTTTGCTAACAGAGGGATTACTGGAAACACAGAGGTGCTAAAAAAAAAACCCCTTTGACTTCTAAGAACCGTGCTGGTGTGTTTACAGGTTCTCCACCTGCGTCTGAGAGTTCACATCAGCACAGAGGCGCCGTTGTTTTTCGACCAGCGAGCAGAAAAGAGCTGCTTTTTTAGAATTTATTGACAAAGTTTGTGTGGTTTCTGTTGCTCCTCGCTGCAGGGCTCCTCTCGCTGCCTCTTCAGCTTCTCGAACAAACCTGGCTGGGTTTGTGGTTTTGTGACCCGGATGGGTGGGGGCAGCGCTCTTTTTCCTGAAGTAGTAGTCGAAGTATTTGAGGCTAGTGGCGCAGAGCTGAAAGCTGTAGGAAACCAGCCTGGAGGCCAGAACCTCAGGGGGGGAGAAAAACCGCTTTCATTTACAAAAAAAAAAATAAAAAAAATAAAAACCTGTTGACATCAGATATGTTTGCAGTGAAATGATTGATCTGTTTGAAATGATGCTGCCTGACATCCTCTAGCTCCACATTTCACAAACATAACAGTTGCATGGTTAAAAAAAGCAATGTGGTCTGAACTGGTTATATTATGCTGTTCTTTTAGGGTTTTAGGAGCAATAAAAKATTTTAAATTTAGGATTTTGTCAAACTTCTTGAACCACCTCTTCAATCTGGCTTTATTAATTATTGAACTAAAATAAATCAGAGTTAAAAAGTCGAACAACATTTGTTTTTACCCCTCAGTGACACTAGACTGAATGTTTTTTAAGTTTGTGTTTGGAAACCTTTAAAAAATTAAACTGTGTTCATGTTGTAATCTGTAGCTTCTCTGGAAATTATGGCTAAAATGAACCACCGTGAATAAAGACATGCGTGAACATAACATTTTGTACAAAAATATGTGCAAATTAGTTAAAATAAGCGATTAAATAATTTGTCTCTTAAAGGCACAGTGTGTAGGATTTGTTGTTTTCAGTGACATCTAGTGGTTGAGTGGTTGAATCATCCTCCCTGGTCC